AAAGTAGTAATTGCATGTTATACATAATGCTTATATATCAAAATATATAGACATTACATGACAAGTTATATATGTGAGAAAATTTAATTTTGATATATTTTTAGTATATGTAAGATGATTTTGATGAACTTTGGTGTCCTCTGCTGGCCTTGCAGAAATCGGCGCGGCCTTCGTGCCTGTTGGTGCTCTGGTCAGCAAATCTGGTAAGATAGTTTTGTAGATATTCTTGTGATGTATTGTCTAATGAGGAGTTAGTCCTAGCCCTAATTGCCAAATATATGTGGAAGTTTGTGGGTCCTTTTTGAGCTTGAAGCACAGAGCGGCAATGATCAATTAACACTGTGCTGTTATGTAAAATTTCAGGTTATAGGCCATATCACACATCACAGCACAATTCAAGTTCATTAGGCTTTAGTACATGTATACGATTATGGGGAAAGGGGAAAGGTCTTCGTTTTTAAAGCTTGTTACTAATGTAGCATATGAAGTTTATACAGCTAATGAGCATTTTGGTTATGTATAATTGAAAGCATTGTTATGCATATGAAGAGTGTCCCCAAACCTTAAGTATCTATATCTGAGTTTCCGAAAAGATTTGCTAGGAACCTTGGGATTAAGGTAAAAGCTGAGTAAGACTGCGAGGAGATCAACAGACGCATCAAGAGAAGTGAAGAGATTCTCCAAAACTCAATTATTAAACACGCAGAAATGAATACCATCAGCGAGCTCTCAAATAAAGTATATGTATGAACGCGAGAAAGACATACGCGAAGAAGATCATAATGAAATCATCTGATAAAAGTTCGCAGCTAAGAGCAGAATGATGAGCGTAAGAAGAACGCACTAGTGACAGAAGAAGAGATCCAGAAAGAAAGTTGACAGTTTTCTTCCCTAGAAACTTGGGTGGGGAATAGTCCATATGTTGTATAACAATTTATCAGTATATTATATTATACAACAAAAACTAGTTGAACATTACAGGAAAAATGAGGATTAGTGCAGTCCAGTGAGTGGTTACATATGATGATATAATATAAACATTTGAGCCGATGAAAGAAAAAAATTTGTATGATGAGGTATTTAGATCTTTACCACACGGACTATAGACAGACTCTTTGTTTATTTATTTTCGCCAGAGTTTAGCGCTTGTATGTGGATTACTTATTATATATGGGATGCTACATGGAGGAGTGAATTGAATAGATTCCCGCATTTTCTCCAGCCTTTATCAGTGTAATAAAGATATGTGATGGGTATCTGCTGATGACTATAATACATTGATTGATATCTATTCTTATGGTGTTTTAGAAATAATAAAGGATAATACTAAAAACATATATTATATCTATTATATTTTAGTCATATATATATATAAGTACCATAATTATAAAAGAAACTAAATTGAAAAAAATCAATACAACATAATTGCATGGCTACAATTATGAAAACATTCATTAACCTATTCACAATAGGTAAAATTTCAAGTAAAGTTTTAGTAAGAAGGTGAGTCATACGGATGTCATTACCCAACACTCACATATTAATGACTTTGGGGTTATTATCTGTCCTACTGATTTTGGCCAGAGTTTCCTAGGAGAGTTAATATATTCCATCCATGACATTAATAGAACATTACATTCTATTGTAAATACTCAATGTGTGGTCAGCCTGTGGAGATGGTATGAAACTACACCCTTATATAGTTAACTGTTTGAGTTGGTTAAAGTAATATATTAAAATTCAAATCAGTCTAAGACTATAATAAAGAAATATAAATTATATTATATTATTAGGCTTAATAAAACTCACAATCAGCTTGCAGATGTGCTTTCTCAATATATATTATTATTATAAATGGCCATTCAGTACTTCACACATTCCTAACTAATTATTAACAAATCTCAATAAATGTTATATTATCTTAATTGGGATAGGTTCTAATAATCATCCAATCTATAAAGACACACATAACACCTCTGAATTTATTATGTCCAGAATTCTAAATAAAATATTCCATTACTGGGCGCATGATAAGCTTACAAAAACAAGGCAGTATATATATTAACCTGTGTATGAAATATCACAATTTTGAGTAATTCCAAGCCGGTTTATAATATATAGTTCATTGAAAATAAGAATATATATATATATATATGTAAATTAATGTAATATGTAGTGAATTTACTAATTTTACACCCGTTCGACGCTGTGATGCGCAAACCACTTGGATCGATGCTCTGATGCAATTTATAAAAACATTCTGTGTGCTTATACAACAAGGAGTAATTCTATTTTTCTTTCTATTCAATAGAATATTTCAACGCATTTCCGACTATTTATATTTGAAAGTTATTAGCACGTTTTGTGTGTATCCTCATCTATTATTATCAGAGTCAGATGACATTGGTGGAACAATATGAGGATAAAATACATCATATATATATATGCATTAACGATTAATGTGTGGGTATATTTTAGGCATCTTGTTTCTAATGACTCT